AAATAAGAGACCGTGGGAGCCGAGGACCCTGTTCCCCGCTAACCTGCCTGTTGCGATTTAGATTAAGTTGGCTCTTCCTTCAGTGATACATCTGGCTCACCCTGCTTTGGAGTTTTCCAAACTTCTCCAGTCTAGAAATTGAGGCATGGAACCGAACAGCTTTTCCTTGAAGCTGCTCTTGGCGGGTCGGTCATGCCAAGAGATCAAGCGTAACTCTACTGCAGAGGTCTTCAAACTTGGCAGCTTTAAGACTTGTTGGAGAATTCTGGGAGTTGAAGTCCACAAGTCTTAAAGCTGCCAAGTTTGAAGACCTCTGCTCTACTGGGTAACTCTACAGGACCTTCCGAGGTGGCATCCTCCATCCTTTTGAGATCAACATAGAAGTCACCTCTCAGTCTCACCTGTCCAGGTTGCGCTGCAGCATCGCAGCCGCAGTCCCTTCTCTGGATTTCCGGCAACGAACTTTTCTCCCCTCCTTAGAGACCCTGGAAGGGTGAACTGGCCCGCCATCGCGGTCCCCCTTCCCAAAATTGCAACCGCAAGTGTAGATGCGCATTGTCGCCTCTCTCTCTCTCTCCCTCTCTTTTTCCCCAGCCAGGCGGTTGATCAATTGACCTAGTAGTTGATCAAGGGCGTGTGACTTTCCATTAGTGGTGCCCCCCCCAACCCCAGCGCCTGTTTACCACCCCCCCGCCCCATTTCCATGGGACTTATTTCCCAGTAAACCTGCAGCAAGGCTGGGGACCCCGATGCCGTCCTATGCGTCCTTGGGGAAGGAAGGGGATCCGAATGGCATTCCAAGCGCCATTCATTCCTTTCCCTCTTCGCACCCCCCCCCCCGTCGCTCCTAGTGGAATGTCCCCTTTTAAGGATCCCGGTTCCTTAAAATAGAAGACGAAAGGCTGCTTCCCACACACATCCCTTCCTCCCTCCCTCTCCCTCTCCTTCTTTCCTTTCTCTCTCTCTCCCTCCCTCTCTCCCTCCCTCTCTCCCTGTCCTTCTCTCTCTCTCTTTACCCCCCTCCCTCTCTCATTCCCTCCCTCTCCCTGTCCTTCTCTCCCTCCCTCCCTTTCCCTATCCTTCTTTCTCTCTCTCTCTCCCTCCCTCTCCCTGTCCTTCTTTCTCCCTCCCTACATCCTTCTCTCTTCTTTATGTACACTGAGAGCATATGCACCAAAGACAAATTCCTTGTGTGTCCAATCACACTTGGCCAATAAAGAATTCAATTCAATTCAATTCAATTCAATTCAATTCTAATTCTATTCTTTTATTTATTCTATTCTATTCTATTCTATTCTCTCTTTCTTTCCCTCCCTCCCTCTCCCTGTCCTTCTCTCCCTTACTTTCTCTCTCTCCCCCTCCCCCTGCCCTTCTCTCTCTCCCCCCTCTCTCTTTATGTACACTGAGAGCATATGCACCAAAGACAAATTCCTTGTGTGTCCAATCACACTTGGCCAATAAAGAATTCTATTCTATTCTATTCTCTCTCTTTCCCTCCCTCCCTCTCCCTGTCCTTCTCTCTTTTCCTTTCTTTCTCTCTCGCTCTCTCTCTCGCTCCCTTAACATTCCCCCTTCCGGCGACCCTCCTAGAGTCGAGACGGAGCAGGGAAGGGTCCCCAAATGTCGTGCGTTCTTTTAAGGCAGCTCAGGCTGTCAATGGAGCGGCGGGAGGTGAACCAGGCTGGGGAAAGTGAAACAGCGGAGGGGTGGGGTGGAGGGAGACGAGAACGTCTCGAAGAAAGTGGTCGGGGTGGGGGGGGGGAGTGACCATCGGAGAAAGTGGTCGGGGGTAGGGGAAAGAGAAAGTCAGAGAAATCGGGGGTGGGGGAAAGAGAAACTTGGAGAAAGTGGTCGGAGATTGGGGGGGGTGGGAGAGAAAGTCGGAGAAAGTCGGAGAAAGTGTGTCGGAGATGGGGGGAGAGAAAGGGGGGGTGAATGGGAGAGAAAGTCGGAGAAAGTGGACGGAGATGGGGGGAGAGAAAGGGGGTGGGAGAGAAAGTCGGAGAAAGGGTGTCGGAGATGGGGGGAGAGAAAGGGGGGTGAATGGGAGAGAAAGTCGGAGAGAGTGGTCGGAGATGGGGGGAGGGGGAGAGAAGGGGGGTGAATGGGAGAGAAAGTCGGAGAAAGTGGACGGAGATGGGGGGAGAGAAAGGGGGGTGAATGGGAGAGAAAGTCGGAGAAAGTGTGTCGGAGATGGGGGGAGAGAAAGGGGGGTGAATGGGAGAGAAAGTCGGAGAGAGTGGTCGGAGATGAGGGAGAGAAAGGGGGGTGAATGGGGAGAGAAAGTCGGAGAGAGTGGTCGGAGATGGGGGAGAGAAAGGGGGGTGAATGGGAGAGAAAGTCGGAGAAAGTGGACGGAGATGGGGGGAAAGAAAGGGGTGGGAGAGAAAGTCGGAGAAAGTCGGAGAGAGTGGTCGGAGATGGGGGGGAGAGAAAGGGGGGTGAATGGGAGAGAAAGTCGGAGAGAGTGGTCGGAGATGGGGGGAGAGAAAGGGGGGTGAATGGGGAGAGAAAGTCGGAGAGAGTGGTCGGAGATGGGGGGAGAGAAAGGGGTGTGAATGGGAGAGAAAGTGAGCGGAGAAAGTGGTCGGAGATGGGGGAGAGAAAGGGGGATGGGAGAGAAGTCAGTGGAGAAAGTCGGAGAAAGTGTGTCGGAGATGGGGGGGGAGAGAAAGGGGGGTGGGTGGGAGAGAAAGTCGGAGAAAGTGGACGGAGATGGGGGAAAGAAAGGGGGTGGGAGAGAAAGTCGGAGAAAGTCGGAGAAAAGTGTGTCGGAGGAGAGGGGGGGGAGAGAAAGGGGGGTGAATGGGAGAGAAAGTCGGAGAAAGTGGACGGAGATGGGGGAAAGAAAGGGGGTGGGAGAGAAGTCGGAGAAAGTCGGAGAGAGTGGTCGGAGATGGGGGGAGAGAAAGGGGGGTGAATGGGAGAGAAAGTCGGAGAGAGTGGTCGGAGATGGGGGGAGAGAAAGGGGGGTGAATGGGAGAGAAAGTCGGAGAAAGTGGACGGAGATGGGGGAAAGAAAGGGGGTGGGAGAGAAAGTCGGAGAAAGTCGGAGAGAGAGTGGTCGGAGATGGGGGGAGAGAAAGGGGGGTGAATGGGAGAGAAAGTCGGAGAGAGTGGTCGGAGATGGGGGGGAGAGAAAGGGGGGTGAATGGGAGAGAAAGTCGGAGAGAGTGGTCGGAGATGGGGGGGAGAGAAAGGGGTGTGAATGGAGAGGAAAGTCGAGAGAAAGTGGTCGGAGATGGGGGGGGAGAGAAAGGGGGATGGAGAGAGAAAGTCGGAGAAAGTCGGAGAAAGTGTGTCGGAGATGGGGGGGGAGAGAAAAGGGGGGTGGGTGGGAGAGAAAGTCGGAGAAAGTGGACGGAGATGGGGGAAGAAAGGGGGTGGGAGAGAAAGTCGGAGAAAGTCGGAGAAAGTGGTGTCGGAGGATGGGGGGGGGGGGAGAGAGAAAGGGGGGGTGAATGGGGAGAGAAAGTCGGAGGGGGAAAAAGTGGACGGAGATGGGGAAAGAAAGGGGGTGGGAGAGAAAGTCGGAGAAAGTCGGAGAGAGTGGTCGGAGATGGGGGGGAGAGAGAAGAGAAAGGGGGTGAATGGGGGAGAGAAAGTCGGAGAGAGTGGTCGGAGATGGGGGGAGAGAAAGGGGGGTGAATGGGGGAGAGAAAGTCGAGAGAGAGTGGTCGGAGATGGGGGGAGAGAAAGGGGTGTGAATGGGAGAGAAAGTCGGAGAAAGTGGTCGGAGATGGGGGAGAGAGAAAGGGGGGATGGGGAGAGAAAGTCGGAGGGGAGAAAGAAGAAGAAAAGGGGGGGAAAGTCGGAGAAAGGGAGGGGAAAGTGTGTCGGAGATGGGGGGGGGGAGAGAAAGGGGGGTGAATGGGAGAGAAAGTCGGAGAAAGTGGACGGAGATGGGGGAAAGAAAGGGGGTGGGAGAGAAAAGTCGGAGAAAGTCGGAGAGAGTGGTCGGAGATGGGGGAGAGAAAGGGGGGTGAATGGGAGAGGAAAGTCGGAGAGAGTGGTCGGAGATGGGGGGGGAGAGAAAGGGGGGTGAATGGGAGAGAAAGTCGGAGAAAGTGGTCGGAGATGGGGGAAAGAAAGGGGGTGGGAGAGAAAGTGGGAGAGAAGTCGGAGAGAGTGGTCGGAGATGGGGGGGAGAGAAAAAGGGGGGTGAATGGGAGAGAAAGTCGGAGAGAGTGGTCGGAGATGGGGGGAGAGAAAAGGGGGGTGAATGGGAGAGAAAGTCGGAGAAAGTCGGAGAAAGTGGACAGAGATGGGGGAGAGAAAGGGGGAGGGGGATGGGAGAGAAAGTCGGAGAAAGTCGGAGAAAGTGTGTCGGAGATGGGGGGGGGAGAGAAAGGGGGGGTGGGTGGGAGAGAAAGTCGAGAGAAAGTGGTCGGGGGGGGGCGGGAGGTCTACTCTCTGTTGCTTTTGAGCGGAGGGGGACCAGAGTCTTTGCATCCATTTCTTTCTTGCTTCCACCCCAGACACGCCTGGATTAGTTTTGGGGACCCGAGAGAAAAGCGGCGCGACTGAAAGCGCCGGCTCCGAATCCGCCTCTGGATGCGCAGAGGGAGGGGCGGGCGGTGCACCAAGATGGGGAAGGGGGGAAGGGGGAAGGGGAAGGGGGGGTTATTAGGGGGGCGCGGGGGAGGGGCATTTGCCCGGCCGGGAAGGAAAAAAAAAAGTCTTGACAAAAAGGCTGGGTTGGGTCACAAGGCGCCTGCGCCACGCTGCCGGCTGCCGAGCAGTCCTGAACTTTTCCTCCGCCTGCCCAGCATCTCCGCCTCCGCCTTCCTCGCCTTGGCAAGCGGGGCTCAAGCCCGGAGCTCGCAGAAGGAGCGCGGCGGGGCTCCCAGCTCGCACCTCCGCGGATCGCGTTCCCCTCTTACCTCCTCCTCCTCCTCCTCCTCTTCTTCCTCCTCCTCCTCCTCCTCCGGGGGCTTCTCCCTCCCACCCACCCAGAAAAAAAAAGAAATCCACCCGCGAGAGAAAAGCGCTCGCCCACTCCCGCGGACTCCCTCGCGCGTGGGAACTGGGCTCTCCCTGCGCTGCGGGGGAGGAAAAAAAAAACTCTGATTTTTTTTTTTAAAAAAAATCTTATTTTGGGGAAGGAGGGAGCCGGGATCGGCAGTGCGGGGAAACCTGCACGGGATGGGCTGTCGGTACCCACCTGCCTGATCGTTGTTATCATCACTTTTCAACCCTGACCAAACTTTGCTTTCAGAAGAAAACTTTCGGCGCCTTAAAAGCTGCGGCAGAGGTAAGTGGCGAAGGAGAGAGAGAGAAGGAGGGGGAGAGGGAGAGGGGAGAGAGAGAGAGAGAGAGATACACACAGAGAGAGAGAGAGAGATACAGAGAGAAATACAGAGAGAGAGGTACAGAGATACACACACACACACACACACACACAGAGAGAGAGAGAGAGAGAGAGAGAGAGAGAGAGAGAGAGAGAGAGAGAGAGGAGAGAGAGAGAGAGAGAGAGAGAGAGAGATACAGAGAGACAGATACAGAGATACATACACACGAGAGAGAGAGAGAGAGATAGAGAGAGAGGAGAGAGGAGAGAGAGAGAGAGATACACAGAGAGAAATACAGAGATACATACACAGAGAGAGAGAGATACAGAGAGAAATACACACACACAGAGAGAGAGATACAGAGAGAGAGAGAGAAAGATACACAGAGAGAATACAGAGAGATACAGAGATACACACACACACACACACACACACACACACACACAGAGAGAGAGAGATACAGAGAGAGAGAGAGAGAGAGAGAGAGAGAGATACACAGAGAGAAATACAGAGATACATACACAGAGAGAGAGAGATACAGAGAGAAATACACACAGAGAGAGAGAGAGATACAGAGAGAGAGAGAAAGATACACAGAGAGAAATACAGAGAGATACAGAGATACACACACACACACACACACACACCACAGAGAGAGATACAGAGAGAGAGAGAGAGAGAGAGAGATACACAGAGAGAAATACAGAGATACATACACAGAGAGAGAGAGATACAGAGAGAAATACACACAGAGAGAGAGAGAGATACAGAGAGAGAGAGAGAAAGATACACAGAGAGAAATACAGAGAGATACAGAGATACACACACACACACACAGAGAGAGAGAGAGAGAGAGAGAAGAGAGAGAGAGAGACGGGGGAAGGAGGAAGAGAGAGAGAGAGAAAGAGAGGCGCGCAGTATGGGCGGAGGGGACCGGCGACCCCCGCAGCTGATGCTCTGGAAAGCCCCATCCCTCGAGGCTCCCGGGCGATATGGCCAGTGATCAGGGATAATGGGAGGTAGGGTCCAACCGCGATGAAAAGACCCTCTCCCGCCCCGCCGCCTGAACCACAGCTGCAGTTCCCGTGCGGGTTTTGCGGGGGCACCGAAGCCCCTCGGGGCGCCCTGAGTTTTCCCACTGGGAAATCCCTCTTTGCACTGAAAAAGCAGCTGGAAGCCTCCAACGGGGAGGAAGTCTTTCCAGGGGCTACACTGGAGGACAAAATACCCCCGATCGAAGGCGGGTCCTTCCTTCGGCCGCTACCGGTTGATGGTTGCCGGTGCGACTTCGGGATGAAACAAAACTCGTTTTTGGTAAAGTGGCTGTATTCGGTCTTTGGAAAGGTGGCTACTTAGTGGGTACCAAGGAAACGTGGGCAACGAATCCAAGGAACTAGACAGGGTCAAACTTGGTGGCACAGCTAATGCTCTAGAAAACAGAAAGGGCACTTCCAAAGTTTTCAGTAGGTTGTTGGACTATTCAGTGGGCTGAAATTAACAGCGTGAAAATGAATAGGAACAACAGCAAAGTTGTTTTATCTCATTGTTGTGCACTGCCCAGAGTCTCTTTTTGGTGAGCTGGGTGATTAGAATAGATAGATAGATAGATAGATAGTAGATAGATAGATAGATAGATAGATAGATAGATAGAATAGATAGATAGATAGATAGATAGATAGATAGATAGATGTAGATAGATATATAGATAGATGATTGATAGATAGATAGATAGATAGATAGATAGTAGATAGATAGATAGATAGCTACCGTAGATAGATGTAGATAGATATATAGATAGATGAATGATAGATAGATAGATAGATAGATAGATAGCTACCGTAGATAGATGTAGATAGATATATAGATAGATGATAGATAGATAGATAGATAGATAAAATAGATACCATAGATAGATGTAGATAGATATATAGATAGATGATTGATAGATAGATAGATAGATAGCTACCGTAGATAGATGTAGATAGATATATAGATAGATGATTGATAGATAGATAGATAGCTACCGTAGATAGATGTAGATAGATAGATAGATAGTTGATTGATAGATAGATAGATAGCTAACCGTAGATAGATGTAGATTGATAGATAGATAGGATAGATGATAGATAGATAGATAGATAGATAGATAGATAGCTACCGTAGATAGATGATAGATAGATATATAGATAGCTGATTGATTGATAGATAGATTAGATAGATAGATAGATAGCTGATTGATTGATAGATAGATTAGATAGATAGCTACCATAGATAGATGATAGATAAATAGATAGATGATTGATAGATAGATACCATAGATAGATAGATAGATAGATAGATAGATAGATAGATAGATAGATAGATAGATAGATAGATAGATAGATAGATACATACCATTAGATAGATACACACGATGAGAAACAATGGATGGACATTTACCAAGGAGAGAAGCGACCTAGAACAAAGGAGAAATTTCCTAACGGTGAGAGCAATCAACCAATGGAACAGCTTTGCCTTCAGAAGTTGTGGGTGCTCCACCACTGGAGGCTTTCAAAAAGAGACTGGGCAACCATTTATCTGACATGGTATAAGCCAGGGTTTCCTGCTTGAGCGGAGGGTTGGACTAGAAGACCTCTGAGGTCCCTTCCAACTCTATTCTATATTTGATGTTCCATGAACAGTCACTAAACAAATGTTTGTAAAGTCGAGGACTACCTGTACTTCTTTCCTGCCTGCCTGAACTTAGGTTGTGTACACACCTTTAATTGTCCAAAAATGTGACTTGCCAAAGTTAAAAGCAGTTGATCTCATAACCCAGGCTTTAGCCTCCCCCCACCCCGATCCTGATTAAGGCAAGCATTCCAGAATTCCTCTAGCACGCCTGGGAATTCTGGAGGCTGCGATGTTTAGACGGCACCAGAATGGAGAAACCTGCAGAGACGTATTTCATCTTGGATAACAGTCTTCTCTTTCCACTTATCTAAAGTGGAAGGGTACCTGATTTGTATGAATTTGCTCTTTTCCCCTTATTATTCTTTGAATTTGCTAAGGAATTTAAGAAGCTACTTCTGTAAAGATCAAAGTTTTGGTCTCTCTAGGATTGTTTTATTGAGTTTCCTGTCTTGTGGGCAGGACACGTATTCAACTGGGAAAGTTTTGCAAGCAAAATCTAGATTTTGCTCTGGGTTACCCTCCTTCTCTCTGTGAGAAAGCAACGTTGCTCTGTGCATGCCCAGTGACTCACCCAGCAAGACTTAGTAGGTACACTGGAAATTAAATTAAAGAGTGTTGCATTAAAATTAGGAATGCTTCTGACGATTGCTAAATCATGAACCAGATAGTCTTTCATCCTTTTAAAAATTGGCACAAAATAAGGCACCTCCCACCAGATGTTTAGTCCTTATCTTGTTAGCTGATTGCTTGCTATTCTGTAATCTCTCTGGAATTTGGTTTGCTCTTCTCCAACAGCCCTGTAAAGTAGGCCAGCACAATAACGCAACATGGCAACAAATGTTATTTGTGACCAAGATGACTAACCAGTGAGTTTTCAGAAAAAAGATCATTTGAAACAATTGTCTAATTCGTGCTCTTACAGCTCACATTAAATTATGTGGTTTCGTTTATCTTGGTTGAGTCTTTGGATTCTTACATCAGAATACAGTATGTCTGGAACTTTTTGGCTTATTTGGGAATGCTTGTTTTAAATGTGTTTTTAATGAGGCACGACAGCATATTTTTCCTTCCTGGAGATAAGGGCTTTCTACGGAAACATATGTTCTCTATGTGAATAATTTGTGTACTTATTTTAGTTTAATTATACTAAGCCAAGACTAAAAAAAAAAACCACAGCTCAAGGAAAAAAGGGCAAGATTTACAGATGATGAAATACACAATTATTCTTATTTCTTTGAAGAAGTGTCTATTGGTTTAATTGCTGCCAACCACAACTTCTGCACACAATGGGATTCTAAGCCACTGTATGATCTTGCAGTTTCCATGCAGACTGATTTTGAGATTATTTCCACTTAAGGAGACATGTCCCGTTTGACCCACCCATTTGAGTTATATTATCTGTTTGTTTCCTAATTTGATTTACACCCTGCTTTTCCAATCTGGCAAGTTCTCAAAACAATTAATTAAATGAGTCCTTTTGGCCGCAGGATCATGAATGTTTGCCCAGGAAATCATTCTCTCTCTCTCTCTCTCTCTCTCTCTCTCTCTCTCTCTCTCCCTCCCTCCCTCTCTCCCTCCCTCTCTCTCTCTCTCTCTCTCTCTCTCTCTCTCTCTCGTTGGTGTTTTGCTGAAGTTCTCAAAATAGAGGTTTGAGAAAAGGTAGATAAAATCTCTTTCCAGTTGAAGTGAAGTTCTTGTGACTTCCCGAACAATAAGGGTGATAGATAGTCTGGAGATTAAATTGTATGATCAACAGTTGAGGGAACTACGTATAGTTCTAATCTATCAAAGAGAATGATGGGGAAGACATGAGAACGGTCTTCTAGTCCTTGACAGGTTGTGGGCGGCTTACAATGCGCTAAGCAATAGCCTTCATCCTTTTGTATATTTATACAAAGTCAGCTTATTGCCCCCACAAACTGGGTCCTCAATTTACCTACCTTAGAAAGGATGGAAGGCTGAGTCAACCTTGAGCCTGGCGAGATTCAAACCTGCAGTAATTGCAGGCAGCTGGTCTTAATAACAGGGTGCTTTAGACCACTGTACTACCAAGGCTCTTGTTGAAACTTTAGAAAGAGTGCAGAAAAGAGCAACAAAGATGATGAGGGGTCTGGAGGATAAAACATACGAAAAATGGTTGTAGGAATTGGACATGTCTAGTTTAATGAAAAGAAGGACTAGGGTGATATGATAGCAGCGTTCCAATATCTAAAGGGCTGCCACAAAGAAGCGGGAGTCAAGTTATTCTCCAAAGCATCTGAAGGTAGGACAAGAAACAATGGATGGAAAC